CGTTCTGATGATTTTGAAAGGTATTTGTTTTACACAGCTAGCTGGGAAGTGACAACTGTTTTGTCAGTTCGTAAAATACACTTTTGCCATTAGAGGGTTAGAAGAACTTTGTAGAATTTAAGCGATGTGAACGTAGTGGATTTCAACAACACTGTATCATAAAACTACCGGATTAAAAGGCGCACCATTAAAACTGCGTGTAACCGTCATTTAACAGAACATAATCCAATTGGTATCTATTTCTATCTGTGTGACTGTCAGTAAACAGAATAATCCAATTGCTATCTATTTCTATTTAGAGTTAACGTGTTTTGGTATCTTGTTTTATATTTTGAATTAATGCACACCGTAACAGAATGATATTGTTATCCCTTTCTATTCAGACTTGTATTCGACAGTATTCAAGATAAAACAGAACAGACCAGGCCTCTCTCAATCCACGGATGGTGATTTGTACTCTAAACCACAGAAGACTAAAGGTAGAGGAGAATCACCACAGCACATGCGCTGGGTCAGCGTTGTTAAATGTGGAAGTCATTAAGCATGTTCCGGTAGCATTTGCATTATTGACAGACACTACTGTAAAAGAGCAGCCATAATTAATGTTTAACATGAATGCAGGTTTTCACATAATCATCGATGACTTGTTAAGTCTTGGTGCGCGTACTCTGACATTCCGACAAAATACACTGGAAGGACTAATAGCATCTGTCCTCATACCTAATTCGTGACAGAGTCTATCTTTATGATGTCCTAGAATTACAATTTGTCATTATCGTACTGGAGGCCTCAGGGGAAGCGTCTTTGAGGGGCATTTAGTTGGTGTGATGAATAACGGAGAAGCGTTCTATCTGTGGATATACACGTTCTTAATAATTAATTCAAGAGATATTTTCGATGTAGCTGCTAACGTCGCTCACATTAATAATAATGAAGTTGTATATCCATAGAGCTCTTCGTGTTGTTGACTTCAGGGGTAGGGTGAGCTGCTTTTGCAATATTCAAGCAGTATCCCAGGTATCATTGTTTTGTAAGTTCTCAAGGACGATGCGATTCCTACTTGTCACCAAGTGTTATCTAATATCCCAGTATCACGATGTATACAAACGTTGATGTTAAGCAATGAACGTATTCCCTACGTTACCGTCAGGGGTGACCAAACTTCGATTTTATTTAAAAGACAATTTTTGTGATGGGAATATGTTCATCGTGTGTTCAAGGGTTCTCTTCCTATGTCATATTTACAAAACACAACAACTCATTTCGCTAATAATCTGTTTTTTAAAATAAAACGTCACAAGATATACTAAGCCGCAAAAGAAACGTCAATTTTGCATTTCCTTCGCAGAAACGGATAACTGTAAAGCCCATTTTATATTTTTTGAATGTGTATTTTTTACAACATCTCCAACATTACCTGAGGAAAGACATTCCTTTCCAAACTCAGAATGGAACCCAGGAAATGGTCTTATAAAACGCAACCTGATCTCGGAGATGGTACCGTGTTCTCCATGTTTTTCATGCAACTCATGCCGCACGTGCTGTTCCACAAGGACCAGCCTTATAAAATGCACCCCAAAACCTGGTTGAAACATTCACACTACAACGTCAGCACGATGCCGCGACTCACGACAGCTCAAGAGCAACCAGGCGGTAAGAAGACTTGAAGCTGGCCACACTGCAAAAGCCGTTGCCAATTCCGTCCAAGTCAACGTTCGGGCCGCAGCAACGTTTCCCATCCACCAACACCATAAATGATCAACCCGTACTGGCAGACCAAGGGTGACCACAACACGACAGCATGTACTGAATCCCTTCATGCAGGCCGCCGCCTCCGTGGTGTAGTTGTTAGAGCGTCCGCCCGGAGAGCGGAAGGTCGCGGGGTTCGATCCTCGGCCGCGTCCTACCAAAGACGTTAAAATATGGTACTTGTTGGGTCCTGCCTGGCGCTCAGCATTAATGGATTTACAACAAGGACTGGTCGGCTCGGAGTCAGTATAATGTGTCTGAGTGGGGTATTCATGCTTCACTGCGGCATGGTATCTCAGTGGGCTAGCACTATAAAACCAGCAAGTCTGGGCTGAGTACAAGCAGCCTGCACACATACACCTACACGCATGCACGTCGTCATATGGGCGAAATATTCTCAAGCACGACGTTAAACCCAATTTCACCTCACCTCACTTCATGCGGGCATCCGATAGAACAGGCCAGACAGTGGAAACACACGGAAGACCAATCAGTACTGATACAGTACGCCGACGTCTTAACAGCGGGAACCTCCATTGCAGTGGACCTTACCGTGGACCTATCCGAACCCCTCGTCACCCAGATATTGTACATAAAAAGAATGTTTTTGATCCAATTATTATGTCTATTTCTGTAATGATTTGATTACAGTGCCTATCGAATTTTGAATTCGTATTGACGTTTTGTTGCTGCTGAGCATACATTTGTTCATCTGAACATTGGCTAAGTTACTGACAAGACAGTGTCGACGAAAAGCGTGTTGCATTTCCGTGACATCTAAAGAGCTGAAATAGTAAAACAAAACGTTATTATTCAAAAATTAGAATTGTAAAGTATGAAGTTTTAGAATCGGTTATATATTTTCTCTTTGTTATCATGTCATTCTGTTGCAAATGTTCATTCGTGTGTCAATTGTATCCAATGTGGAACGAGGTATTTCTAAAATGATAATGACGGGGTCGTGTATTTATGACATTTCTTTGCACAAGAACGCATTTTCGTCCGATTTGAACTTTTGTTTTAATGAAGAGAGAGAGACATTGAAAATCTAATGATTGCTCTCTAAGTTTTAATACTGGTGCTCGTGTCATAAAGGAACTGCTTACAAACTGATTCATTACAAACATAAACAACTGATACATACATCGTATTACTGAATGTGTTATCAGTGACAGTTGTGCTTCTGTTGCGTGATACCAGCATAGACTGAGGTCAACTACTTCCTGTCACTATGACCTGCCTATCTCTGGGTGCTCTAACATGGTTACCTGGAATGTTTACACACTGACAATGACCAGGTCTGATCATGTTGAACAATACAATGATATCACAGAAATGGAACCAAAACAAATTTATCGACGTAGGGTATAATACACTGCGCATTGTTTGCAGTAAAACAATACGTGTAGACACGCTTGACCTGGCGCTAACGCAGCACGCAGCAATTATGATCGTCGTTTTATGTGCTTTAACAGCAATTATACAAAGTTATCATATTACCAGTATATCTGGTTATGCAGCCCATATAAATTCGGTGTATGATAAAGCTTATATCTGAATTGGGTTTGCAACACCACTCTTTGTTTTGAAAACTTGTTATGCTTTCAGTGGTCTAATCATATGTTCGTCACGACGTTTTTGTCCATTAAATGGATTGCTTCCTGATGAATATCAGCAGTTGGTTTTTAAAATCCAGTGGCGCTGTGTATATTAGACATCGCCGAGAAATCACAATGTTCGTGTGTCCTGTATCTACACACTCTCACACTGATATTGCAATATCCATGGCCAATCTCGACGTAGAATATTTTAATGTAGTTAGACGTAATTTTGGTGGGGCGTCGTCGGGGTGGAGCATTAACATGTTAAGTTTTAAACACATGTTACACTCAGTTCTTCTCAAGCATAGACTGTTGTATATAAGGAAAACTGAAGTGATGATCGCAAAAGTGTTATTAATGTATTATCTGTGTAGCTGCAGGTGTTTACTTCAAGACTTTCTTTATGTTGACCGACGGCTGGGAGTGACTTGTGATGCATTGGACAACATAAGGATGGAAGATAAATATTTATCAACATTGGCGAGTTCAGCTGTCATCTGTTTGATTGCAATCTAAATTGCTCATAATAAATTCTTGGGGAAAGTTTGGGAGCATCCACAAAGTCTGGCGTCCCTTGATGTAGTTGTGTGTGAAGAACAACCTCTTCAGAAGTCTGCTTATATACCCTGCAGATGTAAAAACATGCATATGTGCGAGTGCGACAGAACTTGTGGCCATTATTCCGTTGCGATCAGAACAACGATAAGTGTTATCCTTAGTCCAACGGCGTCCAGCGTTCGTCACTCTGTTGCAGTTCTGCGAACGAACGAATATACTCAGTGAGCGATGGAAGTAGTTCCTGATCATCTTTAACAGACTTGGATCACCTCGGACACTGATGTATATACGTATTCAAGTTGTATTGTGCGATATCCACACCTTTAACGTATTTGCAGTAAATCATTGTGAGCACAGGAATATTGTACTAATTATATTGTATACTTATACTTGACGTTGTAGATAGATCTAGGGCAGCGCGAAAGAAATTTTCGGGCAACTTTCACTTTTCAGATCTTATGGTAATTTGCAACAGAATAAACTCGGCATCGAAAGGGCTTAATTATATTTAAGGTTGTTAGGGCTTTAAAGAAAATTGCCGTTGTTCGGGCTTTAATTATAATTTTACGTTGTTAGGGCTTTAATTATACTTGACTTTCTTAGGGCTTTAATAATACTTGACGTTCTTAGGGCTGTAGTTGTAATTGACATCATTTGTCCTTTTCTTAATGGAAACGGAAGTGGAACTTTGGTCCACAAATGATTGGACAATAACGTCCAAATGCTGTTCATTTTGCTTTTCATATGGAAATTTACTTACCCAACTTTTCTACTTATCAGTTGGTCAGAGTGTAAGAAAAGGAAAGAAACACAGAGACAGAGTGTGATGAGATTTTACTCGTGGCTACAGTGGACTTCCCCCTTTCGAACTATATCAGCGTATGTTAATACGCGACAGTTGTGTATTTACTCTGTCGGTTTGCAATGCAGTCTTCGGTACATTACACACAGGGTAACATATCCTTATGTCGCATATTTATTATCTCGTATATATAATCGTCCTTGACAGTTACCGGACAAGCCCACACGTGCTTTATATCAAGGACGAATGAAGTCCCCCATTCTGTTAAACATCCTCGAGGTGGTAAACTACTGATAACGATATCCTTCTTTCACGAGTAATGTGACGATTATCAATTCCAAACACAACACATGGTGTATAGCTGTGACAATGTTGGGTCATTTCGTCCTCATTATATACGTGTTGTGCATAATGATAAGCTGCAACAACAACACAGCATAGAACTGGAGTATTTGTTTCAAATTGCATGTACAGACTCGTAGATAAAAAGTGCAATGTATAGTGAGTCATTGGAGCCAAGTATTAAGTATTTCTTGTATCTTAAAGCGACGTTTATTCCTTGTGGCTACAGACAGGGGGTATCCAGACCACATATGACGGTGTTAATGTTAATGTTACTATGACAGTACATCCTCCTACACGACACACACTTTTCTGTCGACGGGCGTATACACTGTTTCATACATTCAGTCGTTGATGTTGGATACCTTTTGTTATTCACCCGTTGCTTGTCGATACTATGAATTATATAAACCCAGTAACTGCAACATATGTCAAACAGATAAGAATGAATCATCGTAACAAGTGAGTGAGTGAGTTTAGTTTTACGCCGCACTCAGCAATATTCTGTAAATAATCGAGTCAGGACCAGACAATCCAGTGACCAAAAGCATAAGCGTCGATCTACGCCATTGGGATACGATGGCATGTATCAATGTAACAGCATATGGATCTAGAGTCATACAAGAAGATTTCTAATCCGCGCTTGTATTTCTTGTTTCAATGATTTCATGTTGCAGCACATGATTCATTTTGACGCAGAAAAGGTGACCGCTTTGCTGTGGTGAATAGTGTGCGGTCCTTAGAAACAAAGAGGAGATAGAAATGATTTCAAATGAAATCGAAAAGGACAAAGTTAACATATTGAGCCATCTCTGTTGACTCAAGTCTTTTTAAAAGGGACATGATGGTCACATCAAAACTTGATGTACTTTGTATGTGCTGTGTGACAATAGATTATTTGTGCCAATATCTGGTACACAAATGTTGGACTACATCCGCGTCCATTGTATAACAAGACACCTTACTTTCCATATATTCCAGATACTCTGAAGCTGACAAGTGTTCCGTCATTATCAACAAACGGAGATTGTTTCACCTTGAGCTGTACGAGCTCAAGAAGAATTAGTATAATTTTCTGGTTTAAGGACGACAACATAATCTTCAATACAACACGACACGTGGATGCTGCTGACCTCCAAACCGTACCAGGAGTTGATCACGTGAACTGTGATGCCTCCCAACACAATGTAACCATCAACATAACTACCACTCAGTACAATGGATCTGTATGGAAGTGTTCAGATGCTCGCGTAATCAGCAACAATCTTTCTATCAGTGAGTTGGGACAAACAAATGGTAGACTTAAAGTGAGATATATCTCGTTTTCATCTTTGTTTATGAACATATTTCAGATAGTTCAGACAGGAAATCTCATGTATTGTCAAGTGAGCACGAATACTGAAATGTTATGACGTTGTTGTCATTACACTGTTATGTGGAGATTTGCCACGAAGAAATACAATCTCAGATACGCCCACACTCATGATCATCAAAGCAACCGTATTTATTATGCCATTGTGATTACAAAGCCATTTCAATTGTATTAACATTCAGCAAATATACTCTGAAACGCTGTGTTCCTCATAATAAAGAAGCTGACATCCATAAAGTAACTGGCTTCCTTGTGTGTATCACTTCTAAATGCCATTCAAAGACCTGATTCAGCAAGTACATGTGTGATTACACTATGCAGAATATTCTAAAATTCCGATTGTATTTATATTAAGTTTTAACCCTACAGCTTTAGTCAATCTTTATCACCTTGTTGGATGCTCCTCAACGTGGCATTTATACAGAAATTGTGTTGTAAAAATATTACAAAATTGATTTCGACCCTGTAAAAGTATATTCTGAACACAATCTTTTAATTATTCTGCTTTTTGTCTCGCGAAAATCCGATTTTGTTTTTAATATACCTATTTCAAACTATTCAAGACATTATAATGCTTTGTAAAATGCAATACACCTCTTTTAAATCTGCTATATAATAACCTTATTTCTTTTTTTTAATTAACCTTATCGCACATGAAAACAATGTTGAGGATGCATAGGTGTTTCTTTTAACTGTTACTTTCAAATGTAAAGGTTGGAGCGAACACATATAGATAATAACCAAATAAATGTTTGATCACGTCATAGATTCAGCAATGCATTGTTTCAGATGTTGTCACTCGCCCTGCGGTAATTGTTTCACCAAATGTCGTGACATCTACATCTTATTCGACCACAACCAGATAGACGAGGCATTCACACAGTACGTTCAGTGACTGTTGCCATAACACCAGATAGTATAACTCACCCTGCGGTAATTGTTTCATCAAATGTCGTGACATCTACATCTTATTCGACCACAACCATATGGACGAAGCATTCACACAGTACGTTCAGTGACTGTTGCCATAACACCAGATAGTATAACTCACCCTGCGGTAATTGTTTCATCAAATGTCGTGACATCTACATCTTATTCGACCACAACCAGATAGACGAGGCATTCACACAGTACGTTCAGTGACTGTTGCCATAACACCAGATAGTATAACTCACCCTGCGGTAATTGTTTCATCAAATGTCGTGACATCTACATCTTATTCGACCACAACCATATGGACGAAGCATTCACACAGTACGTTCAGTGACTGTTGCCGTAACACCAGATAGTATAACTCACCCTGCGGTAATTGTTTCATCAAATGTCGTGACATCTACATCTTATTCGACCACAACCAGATGGACGAGGCATTCACACAGTACGTTCAGTGACTGTTGCCATAACACCAGATAGTATAACTCACCCTGCGGTAATTGTTTCATCAAATGTCGTGACATCTACATCTTATTCGACCACAACCAGATAGACGAGGCATTCACACAGTACGTTCAGTGACTGTTGCCATAACACCAGATAGTATAACTCACCCTGCGGTAATTGTTTCATCAAATGTCGTGACATCTACATCTTATTCGACCACAACCACATGGACGAAGCATTCACACAGTACGTTCAGTGACTGTTGCCGTAACACCAGATAGTATAACTCACCCTGCGGTAATTGTTTCATCAAATGTCGTGACATCTACATCTTATTCGACCACAACCATATGGACGAAGCATTCACACAGTACGTTCAGTGACTGTTGCCATAACACCAGATAGTATAACTCACCCTGCGGTAATTGTTTCATCAAATGTCGTGACATCTACATCTTATTCGACCACAACCATATGGACGAAGCATTCACACAGTACGTTCAGTGACTGTTGCCATAACACCAGATAGTATAACTCACCCTGCGGTAATTGTTTCATCAAATGTCGTGACATCTACATCTTATTCGACCACAACCATATGGACGAAGCATTCACACAGTACGTTCAGTGACTGTTGCCATAACACCAGATAGTATAACTCACCCTGCGGTAATTGTTTCATCAAATGTCGTGACATCTACATCTTATTCGACCACAACCACATGGACGAAGCATTCACACAGTACGTTCAGTGACTGTTGCCATAACACCAGATAGTATAACTCACCCTGCGGTAATTGTTTCATCAAATGTCGTGACATCTACATCTTATTCGACCACAACCATATGGACGAAGCATTCACACAGTACGTTCAGTGACTGTTGCCATAACACCAGATAGTATAACTCACCCTGCGGTAATTGTTTCATCAAATGTCGTGACATCTACATCTTATTCGACCACAACCACATGGACGAAGCATTCACACAGTACGTTCAGTGACTGTTGCCATAACACCAGATAGTATAACTCACCCTGCGGTAATTGTTTCATCAAATGTCGTGACATCTACATCTTATTCGACCACAACCACATGGACGAAGCATTCACACAGTACGTTCAGTGACTGTTGCCATAACACCAGATAGTATAACTCACCCTGCGGTAATTGTTTCATCAAATGTCGTGACATCTACATCTTATTCGACCACAACCACATGGACGACGCATTCACACAGTACGTTCAGTGACTGTTGCCGTAACACCAGATAGTATAAAAAAAGCAAACCTTGTGGGAATGTGGGTTTTTTTGCACATTGTTCTTGTGCAATTCATAACACATATTGAATGTAGCAAAATGTGAACATCAGTTCATAATTGTGTCTATAAAATTGAGTTTTACGATAAATCAGACTTTTTGCCTAACATTTTAGGGATTCCATATTGGTAAGATAGATCGAATAAAAGAACACATACAAAAAATCAAACATTATTTGAATAATGATTAATGTAGTTTGCCTTTGAAACTCGATCAAATATGCGTTGCGGTACGCAGTCAAGCTGATCTTTAAACTTTGATATGATTCTATTCGACAGAATACGCTACAGGCGATACGCATGCCCCTACGATGCTCATGCAACCAGCAATAACAGTTCGGCAGGAAAACACGTTGTGGGTGAAGACAACACTACATTTAGCCATATACCAGAACACACTACAGCTGTACCTGCAGTGAAAAGCGGTAAGATGGATTTATCTACCGAGCAAAGACTTAATGCAAAGTCACTCTTAGGTATTGAGCTAATGGAAAGAAATGTTTCACTTAACTGATTCACTGTCCAATATATTCGTAAAGAGCTATTTTTCAGATTTCGGAACGTCATGATAAATGATCAGCCTTTTATACTAGTGACCAGAAAACATTTACTATTTTCTTTTGCTTTTTTAGATTTGCCAGCTATACAAACCAAAGTCTACACTATAGCCGTCTCTGTAATAGGTGGTGTCATTGCCATCGCTGTAGTCATCGTTGTCGTCGGCATGTGTGTTAGAAGAAAAAGTGTAGATGTAGTAAAAGGTACGAGGACGTTGGACGTTGAATGGAAAAATAAAGTATGTTTAAATACATGTTGCCTGTGATGTATATTTGTTATATCTAGGAACAAAAGAATGCAAATCTTTACTAAATGTTATTTATGTGTATTTGTCCTTCATGAATACAGAAAACCTTTATTAACAACATATGAACTTCATTTTATGGTTAGTATTGGGAGACGATGTGGTATTGTAAAATGTATGCCATGGTATTATCATATGGGTAAATGCTTTTGATCTGTGAGAGAAATAATATGTTGTTAAAATTTGCAAAATTTGTGTCTGTAAGTTACGAAAAGTCAAAAGTTAACTTAATTCTACATGTTCCATTTGAAGGGATTGTTTGTACTGTTGTGCACGTGTAAATATGCAGGCTTTATACTGAATAAAAGAACTGACTCATGAAGGTGAACGTGTAAGCAGAACGCACATTCAAACAGTTCAGATGAATGTTAACGCGTTTTACTAAAGTAGGGTGGTAACATTTGCCAAAGTATAGTTTCTTAATCACCAAATATATTTCTTTTTAGCTTCTCGTGACGACATTCCTGCAACTGAATGTCAACCTGGGAGACTGAAGTATGTGTTTCCGTCTCTGTTACTGAGTTCGTGTTTCATGGTAACCATAAAGTTTCATTTGCAAATAACTCCAACATTGATATCCTCAAAACGCGAATGTAACATTTCCTTGTCATCAGCGATAAAGTATATATCTTCTAGGTATACTGAAACAAGTGAGTGAGTGAGTTTAGTTTTACGCCGCACTCACAATATTTTTTAAATAATATAGTCAAGACCAGACAATCCAGTGACCAAATGCATGAGCGTCATTCTACGCTATTGGGATACGATGACATGCGTCAACCTCCCTCCCGCATGTATACGTTCATACACAACTATTCCAAACTGTTGAATGACACTCAGTATTTCATTCATTTAGAAAATAATTTCTTTTCAGTGATATTGTTCCACCTCAAAGTGCAAGCAGTCGCACGGAAGGTGAACAAATAGGTACGCTACACGTGCATGCTGCTGATAAGAAGGGGCTGCATATGTTGAACCTTGACTTTACAATGAAACATGCGTGGCTAGATCCATTTGTGTCCACAATGTCAAGCTACAGTTACAAATAAATAAAACGCATTTTAAGTTCTTCAATATATATCACCAAATAATATTAAATTGTTACCTTTTCATAATCATGCCTTGACCTGATTTGGAACCGTGGTAAATGTAGTTTTCAGTAAATAACTAAATCTATCGGGAGGTTATTTTAACAAACCGATGTATATATTACTGTCCTGTGTGAGTCACGAGACCACAAATTGAATGTGAAGATGTTGGTAATTTAACTAAGAAAAGTAACTGCACTTTAGTAATTTGTTGGAAACATGCTTTTTAGATTCAGTGCCAAAGAATTGGTTGGTTAGTGAGATGCTAAAATTTTACTCATTATGTCATTTATTATAGTGTTCGTCACATGTTATTTGCGATCAACGAAACATAATTTCGGTAGAATATGGTAGATCTCTGTAGTATGTGCTCCGATTATCGAACGTTTGTTCATTGATACATTATAACGTTGCAGGTATACCTAACACGCATCCATACATTTCGTTCTTTCAGTTATGGTGGACAATTTCCTATACACGATGTCTTCTGAGGTGGTACCGCGCGCTGCCAACTCCACGAGCAGTGAAGACGTGGAGGAGAGGGCAAGTAAGACTATAACACGCATGGAAATATTTATTTTGAACCTGGGAGCGCTGGTGCTTGAGGATTCAGTTGCTTCCTGTTTATACTCTTGGTCTATTTTCACCTCCTACTTTTATCCCAAACCTTACACTATACAAAATTTGAAACCAGTCCTATTTCTTACTCTTTTTGTGTAGCTAATTGAGACGGTCAGATGATGTTTGGTGTGTTTCGGTAATCATGTTAAACCTGAAACCACCTACCTTTAGCCATTGTGTTAAAACCTTGTCACAAACAAACAGGCTTAAATGCCTCAAAGCCAAGCTGAAGTGCAATAGTCGCTGCCACAATAGCTTTAACTGTTCAAATAAGTAATGTTGAAATTGCGATCCACTTTTGTAGATTAAGTTATTAAGTGATGTTCATGTTATGGTCCCATTCATTATGTGACATAACATGTAATTTCGTGAATTATTCTGTCAGTAAAACTTGTTTTCAAATACGTGTCTGCTATTAGGCACTAAGTCTTGTATTTTCACTACACCATTTCAGTCATGTCGAGAAATGGCTAGACCTCTAAATCTAAGTCATTTCATGAAATGACTGGTAATTTTAGCCAGTTCAGGAAATGACTGATTTCACAATCTGACTGTAACATATACATGTTTTAAGTTACCATAAAAGGTTAATGCTTTGCTAGAAATATGTTTTAGTCAGAACACTTACGAACAAGTTACTATTTTCCCCCAAGGAATATTTCATGACTTTTTACCAATAATAAATAATTTCGTTTTAGTAAAACAATACTTAATATAATTGTACTTAAACTGTCTGCTTATACCAAATCAGTAGAACGTTAACCAATAAGTCATTTGATCACATTAGTGGCTATAGTGAAAGTATCACAACAACATTGATTATTTAACTCATGTGTAAGAATTTTATAATCATAACTCCTCTTTTCAAATTCCAGTTATGACGGACAATCTGGTCTATGAGAGCTTCCCTTTGGACGAAACTGAGACTGAAATATCAGGTAAACCTTCTCGTGGATATGCACGTGTTTTCAGGTATGACCGTTGGGTTTGTAGAGGTCAATAATACATTATATACACAGTGTTTTTACTGGGAAAGTGAATTCAAACTATAACGCATTTTAACCACTTTCTAAAATACATTATATATTCATAGCTTCGGCCTTGAGAGCAGTGCTAATTTACTATTACAGAGGGGCACACAAAGAACGTGGTGGTCTAGGTTACCAGGTATTAAACATGCGGTGGCAGAGTAGGTGAGATCGCTGACCTGGTGTGCTGACTTTGAATACCGATTGGAAATCATGATACCTCCCCACCAACCCACCCAACCAACCAGTAAAAGTGTAATCCCAAATATAGTATGTAACCAGTTTCATGAAGCATTGGATCTTGTACTAGGATCAGTGCTGCCATTTTGATGACAATCATGTAACTGATAACTTACTTTGTTGCTGCTGATTTTCATACTAACCTGTCGCACTACAGAGAAACGGATGGTACGATAGTGTCACCAAATATGTTCCTTTATAAACAAAATCGATTCTAGCCATTGAATTAGAAGGTTTCCATATATTTACACAAATATAACTGAAAAGCTTCCTCGACAAAATTCAGAAACTAGTCTATAAAACGGAATTAACAACCATAGACAATAAGCCGTAATGGATGCCTGTGTATGTATGTATGTATGTGAGTGTGTGTGCGCGTGTCTATGTAAAAACAAACATTCGATCACAAAGATATGCTTGAAAGGTCCCGCAGAGCAATACGTAACTTCCCTGAGGATACAAAACAAATATTTAATTGATGACGTAATCATAATATATACTGTTGATCTTGCAGAGAAGCACACAGTCGTATACACGGGCTTGTCGTGCTAGGAGGACATAGACAATCAATACACCTCACTTCGGAGTCTAAGCCAGCGCGTCCATTCCGCTACCCACACCGACAATGTCAATGTACATGATTGGGCAACATCCACCGACCAATAACTTCGTCTGAAAAAGGGTTGCAGTATAACATCTGATTTCATCCGTGTCATAACAATGATGAATTTTAGATGTGAGAATATCATGATCAAGATAAGGCAACAAAGTTTTCGAAGAAGTTTTTAACGAGCCATCTGAACAATAAAACATGTTATTCGATTACTGTCTGAGCAGAATAATTGTAAATATATATACCTAACTGTAACGTCATACGTATGATGACGACATAGCTGTTACCGTTATGTGTCGCCTATGACTACACTCAGCTTTCATTGTACACCTGAAGAGCCGTTGAACGGCGAAAGATCTTGCGCTGATATAATGGAGTTTTGGCAAAAAGAAATATTATATATGTTATTTATATTCTTCAGTGATTTCTTAAGAGCCGTTGAACTTGAAGTGACTGAAGTGACTTTTGTAGCAATGGTCTGTCCAATGATAGAAATGTAAAAACATAAATTGATTTTAATTAAAGGGTTTCCTTGCTACTCTTGTTTACTACTTTTTATGAAATGTTTGTTTCGCTAAACCCGACTGTGTTTGAACCTTCGCGATATCATAACAAATTTACCGCTGTTAACACCATAGAGGCAACATATTCTGACTACAACAACACCATGACATTTCCCCTATTCCTGTTTGTGCCATCTCTCAGCTTGGCCAAGCTGTCACGCTTTCACGTTTACGTTAGCGGATCGCTTGTTTGTACCGTGTTAACCCGGAAACTCTGAATATTTAGTGAGTGGGTTAAATTGTAACGTCACGAAGGCAATATTTCAGTGAGTGAGTTAGTGAGTGAGTGAGTATGGTTTTACGCCGCTTTTAGCAATATTCCAGCAATATCACGGCGGGGGACACCACAAATGGGCTTCACACATTGTGCCCATGTAGGGAATCGAACCCGGGTCTTCAGCGTGACGAGCGAACGCTTTAACCATTGGGCTACCCCACCGCCCCCCAATATTTCAGCCATATCGTGATCTGAACCTTTATATTAGTCATTACATAGTGAAACATAAAACCATATACAAACAAAACTGTTTCATTTTTTGATCAGCAAATACTTCAAATGGAACAAACAGACATAACAATACTGGGGGAGTGAGGTTGGTGTTAAAACCACTCAATAGCTATACAGCAAACATCAACCCCGAGTCTTCCAGAGGAAATAACAACAACTTGTAGTATTTAACTGGCCACACGAGTATCCATTATACTTTTCATGCTTACTGAACGTAATTCATATTAGCCACAGGTGTATTGTACTGGTCCTGAAATTGGAACACGCGTGTATCACCCTCGATGTACATTTATCGTACGCGTATCATACTGGACATACGTGTTTCATGCTGGTGACATGAATGTCACACTGGGCACCATCATTACTAGACATACCGGTATCATACTGACATACGTGTGTCATATTGGTGACATGGATGTAAGTATCTGGACAGTATCGTACTGGACATAAGTGTGTCATACTGGACACACGAGTATCACACTGACATACGGGTATCATACTGTGGCATGAATGTCATACCAGACACGTGTGTATCATACGAGGTATCTTGACATACGGGTATCATACTGGTGATATGGATGTTATGCTGGACAGTATTGTACTGACATGCGTGCATCATACTTGACATACGTGTACTATACTGACAAGCATGTTTCATACTGGCGATATGAATATTATACTGGACATAAACGTGTGTTATTCTGCACATGCGGGTATAATACTGACATATGGGTATCATACTGGACATACGAGTATCATACTCGACATACGGGTACCATACTGGACATATGCTTACCATACTGGACATACGGGTACCATAATGGACATACGTTTGTCATACTGGATGCGGGTATCGTACTGGACATACGAGTATCATACTGGTGACATGAATGTCATACTGGTGAGTAATGTATTGGACATACGTGTATCATACTGGTGACATGAATGTCATACTGGACATGTCGGTATAATACTGGACATACGTGTATCATACTGGTGACATGAATGTCACACTGGAGAGTAATGTATTGGACATACGTGTATCATACTGGTGACATGAATGTCATACTGGACATGTCGGTATAATACTGGACATACGTGTATCATACTGGTGACATGAATGTCATAATGGACAGTATTGTGCTGGACATACGTGTATTATACTGGACAAACATATTTCATACTGACGATATGAATATTATACTGGGCACGCGTGTATCACACTGGAAATAGGAGTATCGTACTGGACATACGTGTGTCATACTGGTGAGATGCATATCATTCTGGACACACTTGTAGTATAACTAGTCACACGTGTATCGTACTGGACACAATGTACCATATTAGCAACAGGAGTATGGACCCGACATACATGTATCACATGCTCTACACCTGTAACGCAGACAGACATACATTGCATGTTTAATCTGTACTGCAGAAACGTAACTGTGTGCAGACGAGGAGGTATCAAATTCTCTTCTTTCTCCGAAACCCTATTACTGCAAATGGGATAGCCGCGTCTGCCTCTCACCTGGCACATTGATAAACGTTCAATAGAACAATAAATGTTCTTTTGCAAGTATTTCATTTTATCATCTTATGGAGGGTGTTCTCCTCAGTGCAATAAAGCAATCTGATAAACTTGGTATCCAAATCTGATAACTATGAAATTATGTCAATCCACGAACTACTTTCAAAACCCATACATGCCATGCAAATCCTTAAACGTTAACATTGCGTGGACGAGTTTGTAAACAAACACGGCCGCCCCCAATATCAAAACTGGTGATTCTGTAAGAATTGATGACAGAGGTTCTGAGTCGTTACTGCAGTGATTGACTTTGGAAAACATGAAACGGAGAACCTCGTTCAAATTGAAGCTACGGATTTTGAGGCACGAGTGACAGGCCTCGACTCTTGTCTAAGAAAGGTACCAAACAAGGATTTCGATCTATCGATCACAACAAAGAAGACGACGAATCGATTCCGTCAGGTATCAGAAACTGATATTGATGAGGTGATTACCTGCAATGAAAATAGAAAAACTACCAAGTTGTTGTTTGTTTTAGACAGAAAGTTCTTATTTTAGGCGTGAGTTATGTTTGCACTGTATTAGCGACTATTCACAACCATATGCCGCCGTCATGAACGACCTTCACCTTGGTGTACCGCTATATTCTTACGCGATTGCTCGATTCTCTTCATATAAATTCATTGCTTATTTTTTTGGAGTGAGTGAGTGAGTGAGTTAATATTTTAAGTCACTTCGGCAATATTTCAGCAATATCGTGACTATTAACAAATTATAATGTCATAATACATCATTATAAAAACCTGTCGGCGAAGGACAGTAAAAATAATTAGAATAGTACAGATATAATTGTAAAACTAGTATGAAAATCTAATCTAAAATAACTTAACTTTGAAAGACAATGCAATGTACAAAAGTTGATAGAGATCGCCAACAACTGAAGGTAGATCACCATACTAGGGATCATGGGGACCTACACTACCTTTGCTGCCTGCATAGACCTTAGATGGACCTTTTTAGAGTACTTTTAGGAATGACACTATATGTTACAGAGATTATTAACCTCGTTTGTTTCCGTACCATTAATATCATAGATTAGGAATAATAAATACGTATTATACGTATTATGCTCGCCACGGCTCGCATTATTCAATTTTCATTCCTAACATATGATATTAATGATATGAAAACACACTCGGTTAATAAGCTCTATAGATTTCTTCCTCACATTATACCAGATTCCCATGACTGCACACGTAAGACATGCATAAACGTTCACGGACACTAACACAAACACACGTGGATGCATATTCGTGCACACAAATACGCGACAAGCGCAAGCTTCGAAACTTCGGCATTTCGTTAGGAGAAGGGCACCCGCAAACTGATGCGGAATGAAACTATGTCTGTAGCTCTTCCTGGATTGCGTGAACTGAGTTTCATTTCCAGCGAAGGTCCCTATCAAATTGAAATCTCTTAAGAAGTAAATTACAGCGGTTTCCTTGGGTTCTAAAGTATAATTACTTTGTTGTATAAAGTCACCTGCAGATTACAGAAATCAGTATTAAAATAATTTTGATTACTAGTGAGTGAGTGAGTGAGTTTAGTATTACGCCGTACGCAACAATATTCCAGCTATATGGCGGGGGTCTGTAAATAATCGAGCCTGGACTAGACAATCCACTGATCAACAGCATGAGCAACAGCGATCTACGCAATTGGGGTACGATGACATGTAGCCAACCAAGTCAGTGAGCCTGACCACCCGATCCCGTTAGTCGCCTCTAACGACAAGCATGGGTTACCGGAGATCAATTCTAACCCGGATCTTCACGGGTCTATATTGCAAAGACTTACTTCATTACTAGTAGAGACAGGGCCATTTGATAGTATCTGCCAATGTCGCTACAATATACTCCTCCAGTATCTGTATATTATACTTCCCTTGCAAATATATCGATTTTGGTTGTTTTAAGCCAGACTCTCATAAGCATATCTTCAACCCAATGACATTAGCTTAACACAGGGAAAGATATTTCAAAATTGTTCAGGTAAACCGCAATTTATTTCATCCATCCGTCCATCCATCCGTCCAGACAACTGTATCTACCACAGGTTAATCAAATATTCTAAGCAAATATAAACAAGTATCGTTCAAATAAGTAGGCGTAGCTGCATCACCAACACGGTATAAATCAAACACATATTTATCCTCAAGCAAGTAAATAATATATATGGCCTCGAGTCAGACTATTTGAAAATAATATTGGGCATACAGAAAACAAGGTTGTATGGTTGCATTTTGGATGTATTGAGGGATGCAGATTTGAAAACGCTAATGCGATTTATCCAGCTGTGTTAAGGATCACGCACGTTCCTTTAGGAAACAATGAACCGTTGCTATATGATGCTGGTGTACAGTTTGGCCATTCTGATCGGAGAATCGTCTGTTGTTAGCGGTGAGTTATTTTAGAATCAAAGAATAATGATTCTAGTTCTCAGCGAAAGATGAAGCTTGAACACTAAGCTGAATGTTCCAAAGACGAGTCGAGTGCTAATGCAAGCCTGGCGGAGCCCAAACGTTTTCGGTGAATATCATTTGCTGGATGCAAGTTCCGTAATCTGAATATTTTGCTTTTAGTGTAACTGATCAGATAACTCACATTTG